CCACCTAACTCCAGCTTCAGGGATCTGACGCCCTCTTCTGGCCTCATAGGTAACTGCACTTATGTGAACACACGCTTATATACACATACATAAAGTAAATTTAATAGATAAATAGAGTTATTCCAGTTAGAGACTGGAAGAGTGACCCGGTTGGTAGACTGCTTGCCTAGCATGCACCAAGGCCTGGGCTTGATCCCCTGGACCATACCAACAAGGTGTAGCAGAATACAATCCCAGCACTCAGGACTCAGACACGGGCAGTAGTTCAAGGCCAGTCCCTAGACTATAGATAGCAATTCTGAGGCCAGTCTGGAAATATATGAGACCCTTTCTCAACAAACAAACAACAGGGCTGATGAGATGGTTCAGGGGTAAAGGCACCTGCTACCAATTCTGATGACCCATAGAAGAGGAAGGAAGGAAATGATTCTTGCAAGCTGTCCGCACAAACACCCTGGCAAATGCATGTATGCACATGAACAAGAGCCTCTCACATGTGTATAAACACACACACGCACTAAATTAGAAATGCAATACAGAAAATAACAAGAGAAAAAGACAGATTTTCAAGTCAGATCTTTGTCATGTGATAGTGGCCAAAAGAGGGAGCGTGGAGGAAACATGGGAACGGCTGAATACGACAGGAAAATGGCTGAATAAATAATGCAGCCTCCATTTGCTGGAACATTATGCAGTCATTAAAAATTATGTCCTCGAATCGTATTTATTGTTGTTGGAAATTGCTCAGCATGTTCAACACACTGTTAAGAGATTTAAAAGAAAAAAAATGAAAGAAAGCAATTTTCACAACAGCCACGATTTACAGGGAAGTCAGGAAATGGAATCCTGGGAAATTATCAACAGCAGATGGTCCCGCAAGCTCCCAGAGAGCACAGTGGGGGTCACGGGGGTATCTAGGGGAGGGGCTAGGCACACCCACTACCATGCTTCTTGCTCATTCGCAGTCTACTTTTAAACTCACGAGGAGACCAAACACCCAAAACCAACATGCCCACCTTCACCCCCCGGGCAGCAGAGGTGTCCTCCAAGCCCCTGGCTTCCCACACTTGATTCTCTTCCCGTTCTGATGTCAGCATTTGGGGACCACTGTGCCAGTGCCTGCGTGAGTTCCTGATCCTCACCCAAGCTGCAAACTTAAGGTCTCGTCTAAACTGCAAGATGGTGGAGGTGGGGCCTCTGCCAGGGCGGAAGTCTCTGGGGCATTGCTTTTCCCTGGGGCCACGGACTGTTAACAAGTGTCACTGCCATCTGCTGCCTGTTCCGCAGGCACACGTCCGCCCACGCCTGCTCATTCTCCTCATTACAGTGCATAAATCCCTCTGCACGCCCCACCTCCACCTGCCACATCTGTCTGCAATTTGTGCAGTCGCTAGTGCAGGGGCTGGTGCAGAAACAAGTTCTGTAGGACGCTGCGGGATTCCAAGGGGAATGCTCTCGGGGGCTGGACGTGTCCAGCCACTAGCTTTTCAGGGACCCTGTTGCCTTGAGTGCATGGGCTCGGGGGTGCCATTGGCCTCGAAGCCAGACAGTAGTGGCTCTGAGATCTGAGAAGGCAGACCTTGCCTCTGGCATCTGCCAATCACTGGGCTTCTGTGTAAATCACAGGAAGTAGTGAGCCACTCAACCCTCTCGGCTTAAGAGGCAGTCACTCTCATTGCCCTGAAGGTAAGAAACACGGGCACTACCATTACCTCAAAGGAATGCAAGTTCAGGCAGGTTGGGAAATTTAGACAAGGTCAAAATTAGTGAGAGGTCGAGCCAGATGTGGCAGAGGTTCACACCTGCAATCCCAGCCCTTGGGAGGCCGAGGCAGATGGATCACAGTGACCTGGTGGCTAGCCTAGACTACATAGCGAGTGCAAGGCTAGCCTAGGATATAAAGGAAAATGTGAAGGGATAGATAGAGCTGGGGTACAAGTTCAGTTCAAATCTGACTCCAGAGCTGGCCATCCATCCCATGGCTGAGCTAAAGTGGTTGTGATCTTCTGCCTCAAGCTGACTCCACAGTGGACATGGGCAGAGGAAGGACGAGGCAGGTTAGTGGAACAGAAAAGGCCTCTGCCTTGCTGGGCTCTGGAACCTCAGTCAAGTCACCTGACATCCCCGAAGCTCACCCAGTGTCTTCACAGGAAGCTAACACAGAGTCGTTTCAGCTGGGTTGGCCCCTGCAGAGAGGCCACCATCAAGTTTCCTTAGGAAACCTTACATGGTCGTCCTAGGCCTATCTATTTGAATACTTGGTCCCCAGTTGGTCGACAGATTTGGGAAGGATTAGGAGGTGTGGTCTTGTTGGAGGTGAGTCACTGGAGGCGGGCTTTGAGGTTTCCAAGCCTGTATCATTCCCAGTTGGCTATCTCTCTGGTCATGGTTATTGTCTCAAACACGGAAGCGCTCAGCTCCAGCATCATGCTTGCCTGCCTGCTGTCATGTTCCCCACCTGTATGACTTACTCTGTGAGCCCTCAACAAACTCTTCTGCAAGGTGCTTTGGTCATGGTGCCTTATCACAGCAATAAAATAGGAAACAAGACATACCATAACCACAAATTCAAGGAAAGACACCTGTACTATCCACATTTTTGCGTTATTCATGGTCAATGAAAATACTAAATAGAAAGTTCTAGAAGTCATTCATAAGACTTACGTGACTTCCTGCATGTGTGTGTGGAAGCCGGAGGTGGGTGCCAGGTGTCTTCCTCAGTCACTCTACACATGATTTTTTTGGGACAAGTCTCTCAGAGCCTGGTGCTCACTGACTCTGCTAGGCGGAATGGCCAACGAGCCTGTAGGATTCTGTGGTCCCTGCCTCCCCAGCGCTAGGTTTACAGGTGCAGACCGCCATGCCTTGCTCTTGAATTTGAGTGCCGAGAATTGAACACAGGTCATGGGTTTGTATCTGCGCTATCTCCCGGCCCCTTAATGATTTTGAATAGATAGTCACAACTGCTCTGTTCTATGGGAAGCTCTAACTGTGCCTAACCTGTACCACATCTGCCTGTGTGCTGCCATGTTTCCCACCATGACTATAACGGACTAAATCTCTGAACTACAGGCCGGGTCCAATTAAATATTTTCCTTTGTAAGAGTTGCCACGATCGTGGTGTCTCTTCACAGCAATAGAAACCCCAACTAACACATCGCTAAAATAAGATCCCCCTCATATGCCTTGAAAGCTGTACACACTCATCCTCCCAACGGCTCCTTACAGACCCTGGGGGATGTCAACGATGTGTCACATGGCCACAGCTGTGCATACCAAAGCAAGGGTCAGGGAAAAGCTGCTGGGATGTAGGCGGCTCGTCAGCCAACAAAAGTCCCTCTTCCTTCATAACGTGAGAACTTCACCTGGGGCAAAGCGAGACAGCAAGAAAGTTCATACGCCAGACTCCTCGCAGATCTACAGCAATGCGTGACCAGGCTCCTGACAGGACACCTGACATGAGCCACCACTGTGGTCCCTTGCATGGTGTCTCATGGACCTGGAGGCTCAAACGCTCCTCTCCCCAGCCTGAGATGCTCATCCAGGACTGGTCAAATGAGAACCTTGACTGCTCCCGGTGTCGCGGTGGCTGAAGTAACAAGGCAGCTCTGGCTTCAGGGACACAGCTTTTCTAGATATCTGACAGACGTGGTCAACCCGCAGCCCTTGGGGACGGCACAGAAACATAGACTGACTTAAAACCTGAGACTTGTTTTTGCGATTCTTTACGCTGTGTGACTGGACTGCACGGTTCTCAGGTGTGAACCTTTGCAGATGACACCTGTCACAAATGTCAAAAGGTTGACTGCACTCTTTCAAGTCAGCAGCACGCACACCCCAAAAGCTGTTCTCTGGAGACACTGTAGACCAATTTCTCAAAGTGCAGGGCAGCTGCATCCTAGACAGGCTTCCTATCGTTCTCAAAGAACTGTCTGGAACCTTCCCTGAAGCCCGGAGAATGGGCAAGTGGCCTTGCAGGAGGAGAAAAGGAACTGAGGGCTGTTTCAGGGAACCGGGTTGCACTTGAGGCCTGTTGGTGTGCAATCTTTGGTCAGCTGGTGACCACAAAACTGGGGTTCAGCAAGAGATTTCCAACACGCCCGCATAGCTTCAAGGGCCTCCCCAGTGCCAGGGCTGCACAATGCCGCATCTCAAAGGGAAAATGCATCGGTCTGAATGACGAGAATACACTCAGCCCCTTCTCAGAGCCTACCTTGGGGAACAGGAGTGATAAGTGGGGCCACAGGCATTTCTCCAGCAGAGCCGAGCACAAGCTCAGTCCTGAGCAGGGAGGTCCCACAGGCTCCCAAGAATGTAGGACAGCCTCAGCAGTAGGTCAGTGTCTTGGTCTATCAGAGATGGCTTCTGAGGCCCCACCCATCCCTGAGAATCTGTGGGCAGTTAATCGTTGTGCAAAGGCATGGCAGACGTCTGCTTTAGTGGTGAAACCACTGGTAAGGTGCCCACGTTCCTAAAAATTGCGCTTCACCATACTCTTGTCAGCAGCCCTAATGAGACTCAATGGGGGGGGGGGGGGATGTAGAAGCGGGCCTGGTTGGAAAGAGGAAGGGATCAGCGGAGTGGGTGGGACAAGAGAGGGTGATGGGGATAAGTGTGATTAAAATACGCTATATACGTGTAGGAAAATGTCACAACAAGCCCATTATTATTTAAAATATATACTAACAAAAGTTTCAAATAAATTTGTTGTTATTGTTTCAAGACAGGGTTTCTCTGTGCAACAGCCCTGGTTGTCCTGGAACTCACTCTGTAGAGCAGACTGAATTTACAATGCCTGCTTGCCTCCACCTCCTAAGCGCTGGGATTAAAGGCGCATACAGCCTTAATTTGAAGACTTCTTGTCATCAAATACACTTCTTTAAAAGCCCACTTGCTCTTCACTCCTCAGGGCTACTGTCACCCTGAGACAGGATGTGATGGGGACCAACTCCAGGAAGCTCGGAATGGCCCATGCCTGTCCCCCGTTGCGGGTCACTCACCCTGCAAGGCTTCTTTGGCTCTGGCCAACTCCTGCTCCTTCTGCACCAGCTGCACTCGAAGCTCTGTGGCCGAGAGGACCTCGGAGCACTTGCCGCCCTGTGACTCCTCCAAGTCCTTGGCCAGCATCTCCTTCATCTGCCGGAGAAGGTGCACTTCCTCCTGAAGCTGGACCACTTCCTCCCGCAGGAGCACTAGGGGACAAGAGCAGCTGGTCAGAGGTGGGGGACCTGGAAGGGTTCAGGCGACTCCTGTGAGCTATGCACATAGGACCTTTTCCCAAGTGGGCCCTGGACCCAGCCTGCCACTCTCCTGAGCCGCGGATACTTCTGTGACCACTCAGCAACCTCCTGCCGGCTACAGACGTAGGCGTCAACATTCTGACCACAAGTCATCCCATGCCTAGGGAAGTTCTATGCGTGATTTCTTGTAGGGTCCCCCAAACCTGTGCCTGCTACCAACAGGATCCCCACTTTACTCATAAGGCCACTGAGGTTCAGAGAGGTGAAGGAACTCTGAAAGGCCAGGCTATGGCGTGCCACAGCGTGACTCTGGTGGTGAGTCAGGGTTTGGACAATGTCACACTGGAGAATTGATGACGAAGGGCAGTTACATCTTGTAGAGCACATGCCCCGTAGGGGGAGGGGGTTCTGTACCCCACAGAGAACATAGCATTGACAGGCATAACCCCAAGAATGGGGGCACCATGGGTGTAGGACATAACAGCATCCATATGCAGCCCTGTGTGTGCATCCTGAGAGCCTTGCGTCTTCAGAAGGTTCCCAGGTAACGAGACTTTAAAGATGAGAGCTCATGGATCACCAACCACCACTGCAGTCCTGCAGGCCCTGGGGTGTCCCTTTAAGACCAATAAACCTCAAACTGCCAGGAGTGCTGGGGGCAGCACTGTGCCCTCATGGGGGCGGGTGACACATGAGGGGGCATGTACAGGTCGTGCCTTCGTGTACACAATCATATGCAGGCCTTCATGATGATCACACTTAGATGTTACGTAAGAATGAAGCTACCAGGTGTGGTAGCACACTTGCTTCACACCATTATAAGGGGTCAGAGTCAGGGTTAGATTCAAGGTTAGGGCAGATTCAAGGTCAGCCTGGGCTAATAACAAATTCAAGGCTAACCTGGGCTATATAGTTTTCTTAACCTCCTCCACCATCTAAAACAAGAGGTGGCAGGGGAAGAACCAAGCTGAAGGACACAGTGACAGCTGCGGAAACAGTCCCAGGGTCTCCGCTGTAGGCAGGTCCAGCTCTGAACCCTCCCACTCCCAGCCACAACAGCCAAGGTCTTTCCTACTTCCCAGCAGCCTCCAGCTTTCCCTACGCTCACCCCCTTCACGTGACACACATCTGTGCTCCACTGCGCATCCTCAGGCAGGTTCTTCCCCGAAAGACCCCGGAGTGGGGAGGCAGCTGGCTGCTCTGTCTTACACCGGTGGACTCCAGTGGAGGCTGCTGACTGTCACATCCCCCTGAAAACCTGAGAGTAAGTTTACGTGGTCCTGGCCCAGCCCTCTCTCCACTTGGGAGGCTGGATCACAAAGGGCCTTAACCCCAGTCACCTGTCCCTCACTCTGGCTTGCCATCTTTAGTGGCACCCAAGACTCTGGAACTCTCCTCTCCTTTATCAGTGGTCTTCATTTGCCCATCCTGATATTAAATGAATGGTTTCGATGCGTCTTCAAGGCACTCCGAGGAAGCCACTAAGGTCTTATTGTCCGCGCAGGCAAGCAGTGGATCCCAAGAGGCCCTGTCAGTCCCTTGCCAATTCTTCCACAAATTTTATGCCCTTTCTTGGGGTCTTGTTTGCTACACAGCACAGGGAGCCCACCCAGTCAGGGCTGCCAGATTAAGAAAAACAGAACAAAGTAAAACAAGAGCTAATAAAAATCCCAGACCTGGGGGGGGGGTTGGGGGGGGAATAGGGGTGGGGGGGGTGGCTGCCCTCAAGGAAGCCATGGGTCGTTCTTAGGGTAAGTATATCCCCAGTAGTGTGTGGAACACGCTTAGGCTTGGCGTTCACCGTGTGTGCTGTTTTTTTCCCAGTGGGGCTGCCCCTCCCACGGTCACAGGCGCAGGAAGCAGGGTGAGCCAGGGGCTGGCATTGCTGGAACACCCTGAGGCAGTGGGTGCAGGTGGAAAATACAAACAGCTGTTGCACCTGAGCTTGGTCAAGAGCGAACATGGGGGTGGCCCTGGCACCATGCACACCACCCGAACAGGTGTGCCTGGCTCCGAGGTCCTGCCCTCCAGCCCAGCCCAGCCCAGCCCTGAAGTCGCCAATGAGAACCAGGCACACCTAACAGGAAACCAGGCTGGAAAAACAACTAAGGGAAAATGAGAGGCTCCTGCGAGCTTACCAAGCACCCATGCTGGCTGCGTGAGCAGTACAAAATGGGGTAAATGGACCCAGGGGCAGAGAGTGTGCCTACCGTGCCCAAGGCCCTGAGTTCCATCCCCAGTCCTACCCCAAAACAAACCACTTAAACGTGCCCGGCACCTTGCCCACAGTACGTGAGTACCACCAAAACACACAGCTGGCTTTGCCGGCTGCAAGGAGGGGACCAAACCCACACATTAGAAACAAGGGACAATGAAGAAACTGGAGTTAATTTTGGTTTCCCACCTCAGAGGGTTTGGTACCTTGCAGTGTGTGTCCTTGGACAAGACACTATCCCTTTCTGGGCCTTCATAGATGTACTTGGAGGGGCGTACTCTTTGCAAACCTACATGGATATTACTGCTAGTATGTGGGAACAGAGACTCTGGACTCTGGTGTGTAGCCGCACAGCCCAACACGCTTGCCAGCAAGAACAGGTGGCTCGTTGGGTTCAAATTAATGAAGAAAAAAATGAGCCAAGTTTCTCAGCCGCACAGGCCACGCTCGCCTCTCAGGTGCGGGAGGCTAAGGCGCTGGACAGTGAACAGTACAGACTACTGACTCTCCATTCTAGCGAGAGTAGACAGCCATTGAGGGAGACAGGAGGAAAGCCAAGCTGCTAAGCCAAGATGCCGCAAAGGCTCGTGGCCCGCTCACAGAAAGCTTCCGGGACTGCACTGGCTTTGTCCAAGCCCAGAAAGGCAAACAGCACCATGGATGGTAGCCCCCTGCACTGGACAAACCACAAGCCCCAGACCCCTGGGCAAGGAGCAGGCAGGGAGGATGCAGAGGCACTAACAGAAGTGGTAATCAGGCGACTGTTGCTTGGAGACCCTCCTGCCTCAGGGAGCTGCTTGCTACCCATGGAGCTAACTTACCCACACAAGAGGCCCCAGGTGCCTCTTCCCTAAGGAAGAGGGGTTGCAATGGACCCTCCCAAGAGAAGACATCCACAATCGGTGACCATGGAAGCTGAGGGAACCTGCTACTCCACAGTCCATCTCCTTTAATTTGTAAGAGTTCTGCTTTTAACAAGCTATCATTTCCTAGCCTCCAATGCAGCTAGGGTTGCCCATGTGACCCAGTTTTGGACAATGGAGTATAGGAAAAAAGAACAGCTGAGTCTTTTCCTCACATTTTATCTTCAGAGAGTGGATTTAATGGCTGGAGCAGCAACAGCCACCTGGTAATAAAGAGGCAATCAATGTCTTAAGTAGATTAATCCATACAAGAGCCCATGAAATAGGTACTATTATTATCACACCAGCTTCATAGATTGGGGGCTTGAGATACAGGGAGGTTAAATGATGGGGCCAAGCTCACAGATAAAGAGCAGAACCAGGCTTTGGGGCTGGGTGGTTTGGTGTCAGCACCAAATCATTTCCCAGCCTTCAATGCAGTTAGGGTTGCCCATGTGACCCAGTTTTGGACAGGGCTTCTAGAATATGGTACTATTCTGGGTCCTGAGACATACTCTGGGAACAGTGATGCTTGCTATTTCCTCGTGCAAACATCCGCATCACATGTCTACAAGAAGCACGCTAAGAGATCTAGAGTCCTGGGCTGTGTAACTGTCTGGCCCTCCATAGTGGTCAGACCATCCGCTGCACACTGGTATCCAAGACATCATTCTAAGGCTCAGGAGGGGAACTCAGGTCTTTATCAGTTCTGGCATGGAGCGACAGTGGAGTCTTGCGGCCTCATCACGGGCGTCATTGCCCCCAGCCCCACTCCCATGGGGGTAAGCTTGCTCTTGGTCCCCATGGTGAAGTAGATCTCAGCAACTGTGTGAGTGGGGGTCCAATCCTTTGTACCAGGTTCATGGTCCCTGCAGCTTCTAAGAATGTGGGATTCCTCAGAGACAGGGATAGGATCTCTTCCCATACACCCCAGTGCCAGCTTCGGGCAGGGCCCTGGTGGGCGTGTGTCCCCAGTGCCGGGTGCTTCAGATAGAGGCAGGCCAGGCAGGTTGAGGTGGTTAGTGGGGCTCAGTCTTGGCTCCTCCACTTCCTGATGTTAACCCCTGGCATCTGACCTGAATGCTAGAATGGAGCCAAGACTGGTTTCCTGGCCTTCAGTAAACATTAAACAAGGCAACTGTCTCTTAGGCTCTGTTAAACCTTTTAACATTGTGACATAATGCTGCTACCCACAAAGTTCAGGCCCTGGGAACTGCAATGGAGCTAATAAATAACAACAACAACAACAATAACAATAACAACAACAGCCAGGTGGTGGTGGCGCAGGCCTTTAATCCCAGCATTCGGGGAGGCAGAGGCAGGCGGATCGCTGTGATTTCAAGGTCAGCCTGGTCTATAGCGTGAGTTCCAGGAAAAACATCAAAATAAAACAAAAATATAATAATAATATTTTAAAATTCCTCCAACACTTACAATTTTAAGTAAGTTCATCATGTCATGTTGAGCTGCATTTATAGTTATCCTGGGGCACATGCTGCACATCAGCCACAGATTGGATAGAAACATTCTGGAAACTTCTAAATGGGGGTCAAGTGTAGTTTATCACCACCAGTTTGCTTTGTTTCAAGACAGGGTCTTTTTTCATAGCTTTGCCTGTCCTGGAACTAGACTGGCCTCAAAGTCACAGAGATTCACCGGCTTCTGCCTCTCCGGTGCTGGGATTAAAAGTGTGTGCCACTGTGCCTGGCTCAATTTCATGACAGAGCTTGTGTCCTCTGTCTTCTTGTCTTCTTGGAGAAGGCTATGATGTCAGCACGCAAGGAACCCTGAGCCACAGCCTCCCCTGACCTGCGGGATGTGCTAAGGGACAGTCA